TTTGTATATATTTATTATATATCCAATATTTATAATATATAAATTGGTGTATAGAAACATCAGCATGAAAGAGAAACACAAAAGTATATGTATAAACACTCACTTGCACTCATTCACTCACACAGGCACACATACACACATACACACATACAAACATACAAACACACAGACACACAGACACACACACACACAGACACACACACATATATATATATTTATATATATATATTGTGGCAGTATATATATATATATTGTGGCAGTATATATATATATATATATGAGTGTGTGTGTGTGGTGGTGTGTGGTGGTGTTGTTTTAGTTTTTTTATGGTGTCTGCTTTAATACACCGGCCCACGTCCCTCTTACGCCCACAACAACATAGCTCCCTATGGCAACTAACTGCTGGCCTAAACCATGGTTGCCGTTCCCTTTTACAGCGGGAAGTTTGCTCTGAAGTTGTGACTTGGGTTCTCATAACCCATATACAACTAGCTAGATTTAATGTCAACAAACTATTGGCATACATGAACACCTTTAATTTATATGTGTAATATGTACATTCCAATACACCCCATTATACACACATGTATCACAAGTGTCACGCACGAATTACAACTTATTATATATATATATATATATATATATAGTATACAAGATACACATTTGAAATGTGGCCATGTACTTCTATACACTACGAAGGATACGTCAGGATTCGTTCGCACCAATCCAAATCACATACGCGGATGCAGTCTGTACCCAAGTGTCGGTGTCGAAGAAACGTATTTCTTTCGCCTGACTCGCTGTGCAAAAGTGATTTCCATCCGCGCTAAAAACAGCGCCGATAATGACCGCGGATTTCTCTTGCTGGTGGTCTTTGTTGACCTCTGCCGGTGCAAAGGGCGGTAGAGTGGGTGTTTGGAACGTGTTTTCTTTGGTATTGAAAACGCGGAAAGCATCGCCGTCGACGACCACTACCACATTCTCGTTTTTGGGATGCGACACAGTTGCTCTGGGGGGTATCATCGTGTCTACTGTACAGTACTATATGTCTGTGTATTTCTATAGGAACATTACGGACGATGTATCTATGTACAAAGAATGATATTTTATGTATTTTTTTGAGCTCAGATATTATCGCCGGCTTTTGGAGTGCCGTGTCATGGATTTTTTTCATGTGGTAAATATGTCGAATAAAGTACTCAATATGAATAAGCTTCAGTGTCGCATACCACCTTCAATAAGGAGTGTCTGGTAGTCTATTTATGAAATCCACGTGTGGAACTGTCTCATACCACCTTAACTCTAAAGAATCTGGTAGTCTCCCCGGGTCCAGTAGAAGACTTTATAGTATAATATAAAAATTAATAAAATAAATACGATATTGAATTTACTTCAATATTTTTATTATACATATCCCGGTTGGAGTTTTGCCATAGATATGACTCATACATTCTCTCTCTCTATCAGGCCATCAGCTGTGTAGTAGGGGAGAGGGGGCAGGCCCTGAGGCCTGAGCCCTGACTCTGAGACCTGAAGCCGAAGGCTGAAACCTATAAAGGTTGTGAAATTTGTGAACCACTTTTTTGGAAAAATTTATATATATTTTTTATTAAATTTTATTTGAATATCATTGGCTACGAGCTTCAATTGGAATACCGATGTAGAAATTTAAAATTTATCAAACCACGTCGCAAATGCACCAAGGTATTAACTCTATTGGTCCGTTAGATATATTTTACAACATCAATAAAAGACGTTGTCGGTATATATTTTCTGTGGCTATAAAGTAAATAAAGATATAAATATTGTTTATTTTTTATAAAGAAACAAATGGCGTCAGAGAAAGACTGCCCCCAGCACTGAACGGTCATCAAAATTTGGGATAGCTATTATCACAAAGAAGTCAAAAGCCTTTTCATCATTCCTTGTTGTATGTACTACACGATAATATAATTAAAAGTCCAATACATCGCCGATATTAAATTACATACCATACGTTGTTTGTTCCAACTACATACATTGTATAGTTATACTACCTACATTGTATGCGTCTGGGTATTGCTACAGTCAACAAAGCGTGCAAGGTAGACGGATACGTATCATCAATAGCGATTTCTTATCTTAGGGCCTTTTCATCGAGCGGTCAGTTGGTATCGATTTATATTGCCGACCACAGGACATCACTGCACTCGGTCAAAGCATACACACGATTCGACTTAATCTCAAGTAAGTTTCATATAGATTACGCGATACGACAAAGCAGCTGTGAGGTGGTAATAGGGTTCAAATTTCTCCAAAATCAATTCATTCAATCGCATCATGAGAGTGAAAGCCGTTCTCGATCTAAGTGGAGGTGCCGGCCGCAAGGCGCCGGAAAGCTCTTCAAGGTCGTCAGCCTGTTCCCAGTCAACATCGTATGTCACTTCAGTCTGAATCGGAACACTTCAAAGTCTAATTCGAGTGATAATTAGACCGTACAGTGGGTCGTAAATATCGATGTGTTTTCTACAACTATTGGTATTATCTTAGTTAGTTGACTGGTTAGATGTTTGCCTTTTGTTGTGTGTAGTGTGTACCTTTAGCTGCTCGTAGATACTGTTATATCCTGGGGGTTATCAGATCCCCAAGATGAGGTTATGTAGGTACAGGTTTTCATCAACAGTGTATCTGAATATGTAAAAATTATTGTACGCCTGAGATATGAGCGTTTAAAGCTGGGTATAAACATAGCTAAATACTAGACGCGTAAAGATTGATCCACATACAGACAGTCCACGGCTGGATCACAGCAAATATGTCACGATACATGCACAGAGTAAATTGCTAATTCTACAACCGACGGCTACTCAGGCGGCTATATTTACTTGTAGTAACACGCGCCAACGTTTTATCAACCATATTATATATAAATATATATAAATATATATATATGTATATATGGATATAATTATATATATATATATATAT